GTCGACACGTAATCTGATCCGGTTGACATGTGTGTTTAAAATCTGTCAAAACTCACCCTTCTCATCTTCTATTTTCATTCACAACTCTTTTGTCTCATAAACCTAAACAAAATTCCTCCTTCTATCATCAAAATTTTAGTCAAACATTTCCTACCAACATAAATTGGGTCATAAAACTAATTCCTATCACTTCATTATCATTCATTCTCCTTCAATATTCCAAATTGACCATAATTCAAAGCCCACTATTTTGTGTCTCTAGCTCTTCTGCACTCATACATTGCATCTTGTATTCATAAATTTCTATATATTGTGTGTAAACTTGTTGTTTTATCCATCAATCTTTTCCATGACATCATTTCCGTTTGTGAGGATACCATATTTGTCTCAAATTTCAATTGTTTTGGTTGGGGAATTCTGTCAAACACCTTTTGTGCAAGTCTCTTTTGATAGAATTGTTCATCGCTCCCAAAATTTCAAGAGGCGAGGGGGCTGGCAGAGGTAAAGAGAGAGTTGGTTCTTCCTCAAGCAATGTTGATTCTGTGTTTGACTTGGTTAGTGAAGAGAATATGGAATTTTTTGAAGAAAAACGTCGTGGAAGAATTATTGCAAAACAACATTACTACAAAGTGAGCACAGCTGAAGAACTCCATATTCCTGATGTTATTAGCGAACTAAATCACCAAGGAATAAACTACTTCCTATAGCTGACGCAACAATATAATGAGGACTTGATTCGTATATTTTATGCGGGATTACGCAAGAGAGACAATGTTGAATTCTCCTTTGAGATTGGAGGTAAAATTTATACTGTTACAAATAAGATATGGCACACTCTTTTTGGAATTACAATAGGGAATGAACCAAAGGTTAGAGATTCTAGCGTTCATCCTGATTTCAGAGAATGGACTCTAATGAACAATTGAAAGCTCTAAGAGACAACACCTATAATGAACCAATTACTACGGGCTACCTCAAGAGATTGCCCAGAATATTGCATTGGTTTATCACACACATTTTGTGTCCTAAGGGTGGTGGCTTCTCAAGAGTCGATAATGTTGAGATTCATATGGTTTGTCTTCTTCTCAATCAGATTAAGATGAATTGGCCATACTATTTTATTGCTCGAATGTTCACCATCAAGAAATACAACAAAGGGATTGTTTTTAGCTACCCATCTACGATAGTTAAAATACTCAATTACTTCAATATTGGCTTCCTAAATCTTCCATTGGTCTATCCAGGTGTTATGTTGGAATTCACCAAGAGAACCTTTACTAATCTAAGATATCAGTGGGATCCAGAAAAAGAAGCATACTATTACCAGGTTTGTCAAGCAAAGCGAAGAATTTACAATTATGATGATCCTGTCGAATATTATGATGTTGTTGATGATCAAGGGAATGATGATGGTCCTAAAGACATAATTGGTGCTCCTCATGGAGACATTCCCATGGCTGATGCAAATCATGAGGAAGATGAAATCTGGATGAATGCAACTGCTACTTAACTATGAGCAACCTTGGACTGATAATTGGCAACAAAACTCTTGGATTGCACATGGAGGAAACTATAGAGGCTATGATGGGGTTCTTATGATTATGATGTTGGTTCACAAGATAATAGGTACGGTTCTGATATAGGAAATAATTCTGACATCCTTACTATGCTTCAAAACATTCAGCTACAACAAAATCAATGTTATGAAGAAGAAGTGGCATGGCGTGCAGCTGAAGTGCAACGGTGCACTGATTTTCAGACCCCTCAAAATGAGCAATTCGGGTTGGTTAATGCAAGACTAGATACTCAAGAGACCAATTTTGAGTTATTTGCCTCGACTGTTACTGCATAGTTTCAGTCTCTTCATGAAAACATCCACGGGACAAGTGGAATTATCCAAGGAAGAATCAACCATCTCGACACACTTGGTGTCCAATAAAGTGATGAAGTGGCTGCATTTTATGAAGACATGCGCAGAACTGGAAGAACGTATCAAAGGCGTCGCGGTGGTCCTGATGAACATTAATGTGTTGCATATCATTTTGTCTTGGTTCATGGTCATTTCATGTCATGCATTGCTTTTGAAGAACTCTTTGTTATTTGGTGTTGTTATGTCCTTGGATTTTCTCTATATGTTTGAACGATGTGTGCAACTTTGTCTTAATTATGTAATGTTGGATATTTGTCTTTTAAGTTATCTTGTTTCTTATCTACCTTTAAAAATAATGTCATTATATATATATATATATATATATATATATATATATATATATATATATATATATATATATATATATATATATATATATATATATATATATATATATATATATATATATATATATATATATATATATATATATATATATATATATATATATATATATATATATATATATATATATATATATATATATATATATATATATATATATATATATATATATATATATATATATATATATATATATATATATATATATATATGTTGTATAAGATTAAGATACTTCTAATCATGTGCTTTGTCTCTTTTTGATGTTGTCAAAGGGGGGAAGACATATGCGATGATAAAGATGTAAAGCACATATTCAGGGAGAGCGTTAATCGTCTCGTCACATTTTTTTCATCATCAAAAAGGGGGAGTTTGTGAGTGAAACTTGCCTTCATATATGTTTTGAGTGTTGTTAAAAATACGAGAACCTGAAATTTCAGTAATTGGACATTATCTATAAGTTGAGTGTGGCACCCTGTTCTTTTAGAAGTCTTAGGATATGTGGGAATCATATTGAAAATTGACTTATGCATCAAAAAGTGGTTTTTGCACAAAATTGAACTGTACGTGTCGATACATTTGTATTTCAAGTCGACACATGCAACTCGGTAAATAAGCATTTAAACTCTGGCTTGGTTAGATCGACACATACATCGTACAGGTCGATGCATACTGAAGCATTTCAGAAATTGTAGAAATTCTTATTTTATGTGTCAACACATACGATTTTCAGGTCGACACATTCACTGTTGTTTTAAAGTTTGTAGCCTCTGACTTAGTTGAATCAACACGTACAGTTCCTCAGGTCTACACATAAAGCTTAAAATTAACGCATATGTCGACACATACGATATACGGGTCGACACGTGCTGATTGTTTTGGTCAATTTTGTAAATTCTTTTAATTTCAAGTATGTCCTTTTTGCTCTAATTTTCCACAACTATAAATACATCTCTCACGCATTATTTACAACTTGATGATACCATAAAATTAGCCTACATTTGCTCTTCATCTTCAACCTCCAATCTATGCATACACACTAACATTCTATTGTAACGATCTTTTGTTGGGGTGCCATCTAGACGAGGTTTGATAGTGTCCGATTAGGTTCTTGTGTAGCCGAAGATATTGAATTGAAATTTGTATCAGGAAAAACCGCGGGTTTGTCCTCCAAGATCATTTATTGATTTAGGGATTTTCGTGCAAGACGCTCAAAAGGTAATTGCTGCCAAGTGAAGTCCTTTGGAGATAAAGTAAGCAAGGGATCCTTTGGAGATAAAGAACGTAAAGGAAGTAGCGAGAGAACGGCGAATTACAATTGAGGTCTTGTGTTGCAATAGTTGAAATTGACAGTGCACGAAAACTTTGGAGATAAAGAACGCAAAGAGTAGCAAGATCTGAATAGTCAATTTGCATCTATTGTGTCTTGGTCTTTCACAAGACCAAAAGAGGAGAAGGGATTGAATCAACAACAAGCTTAGGGTTTATAGAGTTGCTCTTGAACACTATCTTGTATCAACTTTTTTGTATAGTAAGAATTATCCTAATTCCATTGGGACGCGAGGATGAAAATGGAGAACTGTGAAGACAAATTCCCGCGTCTCTTTTCTTATTACTTTTACTTTAATATTCATCAATCAATTTATCAAATAGCATTGCGTTATCAATTGAATTGTAAGTAATTTTTCAAACTGTTTTTGATTTACATCAAGTGTTGATATTGCTTATAATCACTTTTAATTATAAGTGCTTTTGCGTATCAACACAACTTAAAGGAAAATTCACTTGTACACCAAGTGTTTGACAAATTGATTTTGTTTGTTCTTTTAATATTGCCATTGAAAATAGCTTTACTAGTAACTTGCTATAAGTTTAAATAACCTATAAAGTGATTCAAGTGTATTAACTCAATTGTCATTCTTATTCCATACTCTATTTTGTTCTTAGATTTGCATATCCGAGTTTCCAATAACGTTCATAAAGACGACTTATTTTGAAAAGCACTTCTGCTCAAACTCTTAGAAAACTAGTTTATCAAAATCAGAATTTTCTAGATATGTTGTCGTCGTCTAATATTTATTCCCTCACACTTGAATCCCAACAGACTCCATCTTTGGCATTCATTGAGCAGGCCTAATTTAACCGAAGGTAACTTGTTTCACAAGTAACCCTTCATTCTTATCAAAAGCAAGATTGATTAATTGGAAAAGCTCCAAACTATGATGAGCTTATTTTTAAAGATGCTAATTGTCTCAAGCCCCTTTTAGTTAGAACATAGCTTGAGCAAAAAAGAATTGGAGCATTGACATTCCTCCATGGAATCTAATGCATGATAAGGGGCTATCTCACGACAAATTAATGAAAAGGAGTTGCAATTTTCTTCTATATGTAATTTATATCTCAAGTATGCTGAAACAACTACTCATCTCTTCTTTGATTGTGCCCATGTTGTCAACATATGGTACGATATTTGGAAGGTTTATGATAAAGTTTGGTTCCCTCAATGCACAACAGTAATTCTTGCAGGACTAGTCAACAATATTAATGCGATTTGATACTCTAGAAATCAAGCAAGATCTAACAATAAGAATGTCCCTATGAGAACGACTATCTCTTTGATAATTTCTTAGGCATCTATATCTAGAAACAACACTAGGAAAATATACCTTAATATCCATGCCTTTGTTTGGTAGAATGATCTCCCTTTAAAGATTAGATCTGACTTTACCTTAGAAAATGTAGCCACTTGACTTGGAAGTCCCACATCCTGTAGGAATATTGTTAGTTAGAGAAGCAAAGCATTTTGAAAAACTTATATCCCAATTACATTCTTCCTTCAGAATAATATAATTAATAACGATATGCACCTTTCTTCCGTGAGAACAAGCCTCATTGTTGTTGACGTACACCTTTGTGGCCCAACTTTTCATAAAAAAACAAAAAAACTTTTAGATTTGAATTTTTTTATTTTAAGATTACAAAACTAAATTTATACTAAAATATTACGTGTGATAATAAATCTTGTATAAAAATTATATAAATATTGCAGAGATGAATCCAATCATTTTAAAGTATTTGTAGAACAATACTATAAAGTTATAGTAAGATTGATAAAGCATTGGAACTTGAAAGTGATAAGATTTGTTATCCACTCAATGTGTAGTATTTATAGAGCTTATCCAATTTTGATTACTACCTTCCTTCTTCCTTAGTTGATCACCTATTATAACTAAACTGTTTTTTTTTTAGTTAATATATTTCTTCTTTTGAATAAAAAAACAATAAAAATCAAAAACAGTAATATAAATAATAAAGAACCGAAAAAGTAGAACATACGCGCAAGATGTTGGGCGGTTCCAAACAAGTCCTGCAATCACCACAAGCTACAACCCATCACAAATTTCTAATCTCAGCTTACACAAATTCATAAATAATATTTTAACATGATTTGAAAACTGTTTCAGAAAATTGATAGAGTGAGAAAATATAGTATAAAAACACAACCTCATCAAAGACACCGACTGGACTATCCTCATAACTAGCTAGAAAAAATCCACCAAGAGTGTATCTGTAAATATTGGTTGCAAAATCAAACTTTGAGAGTAAATAAAAATAAAAATATAATTAGTTACATACCCAAAAGCTTCAACCAATTTGAATTCTTTTGGTATACATGCTCTTGCTTTCTCAGCTTTCACAAGATGGAGTTGATACAAAGCACTGATAAACAAAACCTAGTTAATTAAATTGCAACTCCTAGTATTAATTAATTACGTAACAAAACATAAAGTGGTTATTTAAATAATATTTTTTGCAATGGTTCATTCTAATTTTATCAAACTCAAACATTAATATAAACATACAAAAAGTAGTTAGTTACACATTTAACACTTACCTTCCTCTAAACACCCATGGAGGCTTACCATAACCAGATGAAGATTTTGTCTCTAAAGCTTCCATGAACTAAAGAATTGAAGAAAAAAATTAGTGCTACTAACTAAGTGTTAATTTATTTAATGAATATGTAATAATCACATTTTACGAAATGAAATGCAAAAGGGGGAGTTAATTGGAGATTATGGATTACCTTAAGTTAAGAAATTTGTTGAAGTGATGGAAGTTTGGTGTGAGTGAAGGAGAAGAAAAGAAGAAGTGTGTAGAAGTGATATGAATGAATGGATAAACTAAAACTTTTGATCCACACTGTCGTTTTGTATGGACATAAATAATACTAGTACACACGATGTTTGGCTCGCGCCAATAAGTTATGGAAATAATAGTAGATTTTTGCTTCTTTTTTTTTAAATATAGATTTTCTTTGAAATGAAGTTTAATATCACAACGAATTATAATTAAATTTGTACGTAATGTTGCCCCGTTATACAAAAATTTCATATTTGGTGGTGCAAGTTTGAGTATGCGATATATTGCTTATTTATTACGAGACTCCGACACGTCATTTAGAAAATGTGTTTCTGCATTAGATATGTATCGGACACCGATATTTATGATACGTATCAGACACGTTTTTGAGGTGTTTAATAAAAAAAAATTGAAATGCAGTGGACATTAATATAATATATTATTTTAAATAACAGATATACTAACTTTTCAAATTTTGAGAATTAAAAAAATTACATTTCATATTCTACTATCTATGTTTTTGTTTTATGTTGTTAATTATATATGTCGGCGACGGCGCTTCACTCGTATTACTATTTGAGACAAAATTCATCCCTTCAAAGCCAACATAATAAAGGTGTTAGGGACTGCAATGAGGCAAGTCAAAGTGACACAATTAAGACGACTAGAGGCGGACGACAATTAAGACAAAGAGTCCAACGCACCTCCTCATGCTTGGGCCTCAATGAGCCCGAAGGTGAACGATGTGGAAGCCCAACAATGGGTCTTGGATAGTGATCTAACCTGATCAGACTTGGACCGTCACGGCTGGCTCCGAACTGAAATTTTGAACGAGGTGGGGGTACCTGCAAGGCACTCCGATGCTGAAGTAAGTAAGAGCACGAGCAGGCAATAATATGAGTATGGGTAAAAGAATGAATACCTGACCCTCTGGGAACATAGGATATTTATAGCCCCCAGCGTTGGGCCAAGGTTCCTTCATTGGGCCGGGCAGGTTTGGCCCAATGGAGGAACTGCCAGGTTCTACGTGCGTAGTGGGGACCCGCACGTGGCCCCCTTCCTGGATGTTCTGCGTGAAGTACGAACGGACAAGAACGCGGTCTTTTCGGGATCCAGGTGATGGCGTAGTTGATAGAGTCTGCCCTAGGAGGGGTGCTCGAGCTGAGGTCGAGCAGGATCGCGCAGAGTCGAGGACGTCGTGCTAGCAGAAAGTGTCGGACAAGGGTATGGCCTTTTGGTCGGCGTGACCCTTTGTAAGACCGTTTGGATTGGGCCTTCAACACTGCTTTTGGGCCAGCCCGGCCCAGTCCAGAACAGGAGCCCCCCAAGTCGTGGTTCCTGTAGTAGGAGCCATGACTTGATCTTAGGTCGCCTGCGTCGCGGGGTCCCGTTCCCGGCTAGAATATGTCGTTCTTGTGACTTACTCGAGGAGTTTTCTCTCGTGTCGGGCATACGAGATGATGCCGCGCGAGGAGCGTTCGGGGGTCTCGACGGGTTGCGTTCGTCGGGCACATGAGGTATCTCTTGGGAATCGTGCCGCCACCCTACTGACGATAGGGTCATCATTGCCTAGAGGAGCTACATGTCGAGGAGGGAAGTTCTATGGTTCCCCGAGGTGACGTTTGGTATTCCACGTCATCACTATAAATAGGTTGTTTTGGGCCCCAGAACGTGTTTTCCCTGTTCGTGCTTCTCCTCTGCACTCTGTTCCTGTTGTTGCTGTTCTTCCCAGATACTCATAGGACCGCCGTGATCTCCGTCGCTGATTTCCTTTCTCCGTCGTCACATTACCTTCCTGATTCCAAGTAAGTGCCTTGTTTCCTTCGTTTTTCCTCCGTGATGCATGATTTTCATTGTTTTCAGATGTTTTTAGAGACTGTAAGCCTGGGATTAGCCCGGTAGATTTATGCTTAGCTCGACAAATCCATGTTTATGCCCGGCGAACGCATGTATGCGCCCGGTAAACGCATAGTTTAGGTATTTGACTCGCAGTGCTGCCCGGGGACTTCATGACTCAGGGCGCCTAATTCTTGGTGGTGCTCGGTGAACTCATGGCTCTAGTTTTGAGACCCATGACGTTGCTCGCCACGTTCGTAACCTGGGTCGACACATTTGTGAGTGGTCGAGATGTTGGCCTATTCAGGCGCTCTGTAGCTTGTCATGGTGACTGGGAGTCGGGGAGGTGACTGCTCTTTTTTGTTTCGAAACACCACTTTGTGGTCGCGCATGGAGCGACGTGGTTTGTCGTGCCCTTCATCTCGTTCGTTATGGCGAGCGTGTGGTTTCGCTCCCAATTGATTGGTTTCCCGTGCTTTGTAGGTAACCATGGCGGACAAACCATGTTCTTCAGGGCGCCCCGAGGTGGGAGAACAAAGTGCTGATGAAAATGTGAATTTGGTTGACACCATAGAGGACCCTCTGCTGGACTGGGTGGGTGCCGAGCCCAGAGGGATAGCTCCGGCTTATAGTCGACGTAGTCGAAGGGCGTACACCATTCTCGAGACGGGCAGTAGCCAGTCTGATTTCCAGAAGAACTTCGTCGTCACTCGACCAACTTTCACTGCACGAATCTGCTCGGAGTTCCCCGAGTATGGATTCCCTATGTACGAAATTGCCTTCAAGGACCTTGGGTTGCAGCTGCCCTTCAGTGATTTTCAGGTTGGGGTCTTCGGCCATCTGGGGCTGGCCCCGTCGCAGCTTCACCCAAATTCGCTTACTTTCATCCGGGCGTTCGAGCTAACTTGTCGGTTTCTAAGGATTGGGGCGACCATACCCCTCTTCTTCAGAGTCTTCCATCTACAGCGCCAATCCCGGGGAGGTAAGCATAGTTGGGTTTCCCTGAAACAGTCGAAGAGACTTTTCAGGATGTACATGGATTCCGTGCGGGGTTTCAAGGACAAGTGGTATATTGTAAGGCCGGTTACCGCAGCGGGTTTGGAGTCTGTGTACGAGGAGGAAGCAGTCATAACCGACGACCACGGGGAAGCCCTTTTGGACGAAGAGGGGCATCCGGTGTTAGGGCGCGTGGCCAAATTTCCCCTACATCGGACCTCGAGGCACTACGAGCATGGGACCGGGTACTACCACACGTCCGCGGGCGAAATGAGCTCCGAAGACGAGAAGGCTTATGGTACTCTCTGTCGGTATGTCGACAGTTTCTTCCCAGCCAGATGGGCCACGAGGGAGGGGGAGGATATCCTTGACGAGGAAGGTTATTCGACCTTCGAGGCCCGACCGATTGACACAAAGGCACTTGTGGAGTGCCAGTCCTTCGGGCAGGCTGCGAATTTGCTAGGTCATTATCGTTTGTCTTGTTGAATTTCTTTACCTGTTATTTGTTCGCCTATTTGCTCGTCACTAACCCGGGGTTCTTTCATGCAGGTTCGATGGCCGGACGAAGGGAGAGGCTCTTGAAGTTGTCCTATGACAGGAAGGTGAGTAAGAGGGTGGTGAGACCTCCTCAGGCGACGAGGATGGGCCCGCCACATAGCCCGGGCATTTCTCAGGCGACGAGGGTAGACTCGCCACCTAGCTCGGGAGCTGCTTCGGGGGAGATTCCGGATGTCCAAGAGGTCGAGCCACACACCGACCTGATACAGAGGAAAAGGAATCGGGTGGAAAGTCAACCAGAGGTCGGTGAGGACTCCAGCGCTGTGAGGTCCTTCGGGTTGCCCCCTTGCTTTAAAGAGGAGGGTTTCTTCGAGGGATTTCCCTTGTATGTAAGTCCCGACGAAGCTGAAACCATCAGGAGGATGAACAAGGAAATCCAGAGAAGGCACCTGGCCGCCAATATGGCCGGGCTGGTGAAGATGGTCGAGATGGCCGTTGTACTGGCCGAGGGGGGGGGGGGGGAGGACGCTGACCGTATCAAAGAGTTGGAACAGGAGAAAGCTGCCCTCACCTCCAGTTCGTGAAAGTTGAAGGCTGCTCTGGAGCGCTCCGAGGAGATGTTCCGCGAGCAAGCCGAGCTGCTGGCGGCGGAGATAGAGTTGCTGGCTCTGGAGAAGGAGAACTCGGGGAAGCTGGCCGAGGAGAGAGAGCTTTTTCGTGCGGACTGGGAACGTCTAGAAATTGACAACGGGCGCCTCGCCAAAGAGATCGAGGACCTGAAGGCCGCTATGCTTCCTGCCGAGGACGAGTCGGAGGATACAGCTCCTTTGAGGAGTCGATCGGAACTGGTCGCTCGCATCCAACTTCTCGAGCGGGATTGTGTCGGAGCTATGTTGGACGACCTTGAAGCCGCGGTCAGCCAGCTTTCCTTGTTGAATCCCGGCCTGAACACTGAAGGGGTGAGCCATATGTCTCAGATTATTGACGGTCAGGTCGTGCCTCCGCCCGACTCTCCTGTTGTTGGTGATGGTAGCTCCGGGGAAGCTGAATTGTGAGATAGTGATGGGCCTGCGCGCCTTTGTTGATGTTTATTCTGGGGCCTGCGTGCCCGTTTATATTTTCTGGGCCTGCGTGCCCGTTCTTTGTATTTCCTGAACATCGCCGGCCTTTTTGGTCGGTTTACATTTATTTGCTTTGTTGCCTACGGGCATTTTGAATGAATGTTTTGTTTCAATTTTGATTGTTTGCCCGTGCTTGTGTTTTACGTTTTTGCGCAAAAATTGGCCTAAGTTACGGGCCCGAGGTGTGCCCGTATATGGTGTGACTTTGTTGGCAAATTTGCCTAAGTCTTTTGTTCGTGTGTGTACTCGGCCTCCTCTCGATGGCCAGAGTCGCCCAAGTGGTGACCTCGAGGGGAGAGACTCATTTTTGACCCTTTTAGATGGCCCGACGTTCTTCGAGATTCGTCGGGCATGCGGAGCGAAGCCGCTTGGTCGGGTATATGACCCGGTCGGGGTTATTTGCCCGCGGCGTGAACTGCCCATCGCGAGCTGGGTGTTCTGCCCTACAGGTACTTCGACGGTGGAGCTCGGTAGAGGTGTCCGCGTCGGGCACTATCGTTTGTTCTTGTTTGGTTGAACGATGTTATGTGGTTTGGACGTAGGTCGGGCCTATACCTCGGCCTCTCTACGGGGGTCAGACGTTTCTCCTCGTTGACTGGGCGCGGGGATCGGCAGTCGAGGGTCCTTGGTGTTGGTAGTTTTTAACTATAGTACTGCTTTAGTTTAGCAGCGTTCTAGGGTCGTGGTAGTGGCTCTCCGTCTAGTTGCTTGAGGTAGTTCGCCCCGGTACCGGTGGTGCCGTGGACGCGATAAGGCCCTTCCCAGTTCGCGGCCAGCTTC